AACGTTATACCTCCTACTACTGTGACTGTATAATATTAAATATTTCGCCGGATTTTATTTTCCTGGAATCTTGTACGAAGCACGTGTTGTTCTTCTGTTTGTCTATCGCCATCTTATATTACATACCGCGCCACCAATACTCTCTCGGAACAAAACTTCGCGCCGCTGTCCGGCCGATAATACAAGTAAAACATAAAGTTAAACATAAAAATCCGACATGCCCCCCGGCATAGAAAGCATGCCTTTCAATAAAACAAATGTGTGGACTGTATAATGTTTGACGCTCTTGTATATAATTATCTTTAGACACATATACGCGAGCGAATTACTTACTAGAAACATTAACATAAAGAACTTAATGATAATTATTATAATCTTAATTATGAATCTTAACATGAGTAATGTGATAATTAATGTTAAACGCAATACGAGTTATAGCTGAATTTTGATTGAGGGTTGTACAGGTGAGCCTCTTTTGCACATTAATTACATTCTTCAATAGGAAGCGGACAAAGTTTTGCGATGGTGATCCGCATGGTGCTGTGGAAGTTTTGACTGTTGCCACTCAAACTATCTGGTCCTGTCCCGGATGAATGACAAGTATTCGTCCCAGTTTCCACCTACATGATAGTAGGTTGTCCTCCCTTATGAGTATCATGGTACCTTCCTTTATTGGTTTGAATGGCCGCTTCCATTTTGTGCGTTGCTGTAGCTCTGAAATATATTCCTTACTCCATCTCGTCCAAAAATGCTACTGCAATCTTTGAATCAATTGCCATCTGGACAGTTTGGATTCTGGTACATGGATTAAACTAGGGTCGGCCACCGCAGTCATCGGTGAACCAATCAAAAAGTGAGCGGGGGTGTGGAACGAGGTCGTTGAGATCTGTTGATATGGGAGTTAGGGCTGCCGCACACACTTCCGTAACAGTAACCATAAGACGTACCATAATAATTAGCCAATCACAGTCAAGAATTCTTTTGAACTCTTAATTCTGATTGGCTGATACTTACGGTACAGCTTATGGTTACTGTTACGGAAGGTGTGTGCGGCAGCCCTTAGTGATCGGGAATTTAATATTGCTTCTATTTGTGTAAGGAGCGTGTAGAGCTCTTCAAAGGTCAACGCCGTATCACCTGCAACACACTTTAAATGATACTTAGTCGACTTTACCCCGGCCTCCCACAAGCCCCCAAAATGTGGCGAGTAGGCAGGAATGAAATGCCACAATCCCCATATCGTTAATGGATTCGCTAATATGTACTTGTTCACTCATCAGTAATTATGCTAAACTCTTTCAATTCCCGATTTGCTCCAACGAAATTCGTCCCGTTGTCCGAATAAATGTGCGCTAGTTTTCTTCGTCTGGAGACAAAACGCCTGAGTGCTGCAACGAAGGCTTCCGTCATGTCAGAGATCAATTCTAAATGCATCGCCTTTGTGGCGAAGCAAATGAATAAGCTTACATAACACTTACTTAACTTACACCCTCTGCTCTTTCTGTTCTTTATCATAAATGGACCTGCATAATCCACCTCTGTGACATGGAAAGGTGGAGCAATGGATACGCGCGGTTTTGGTAGTTCGCCCATTAATGCTTGCGCCTGCTGTGGCTTGTTCCTAAAGCATCTTACGCATTCATGGACAACCTTTTTTGTTAGATTTCTGCCACCAATAATCAAAATCTTTCACGCGTGGATGCTAAAAGCGCTTGCGGAGCCAAATGTAACATTCGCAAATGCTCATCAATGAGAATTAACTTAGTGAATCAATGTCTGGCTGACAGTACTATTGGGTGTTTCTTATCTTTAGAAAACTCAGAGTGCCCTAATCTTCCTCTTACCTGCAACAGACCTTCATCGTCGATAAACGGTTGAGCGTTATTAAGGATTTGTTTGCACGAATTTTACCTGATCTGCTATTTTTCACTCCTACTGGAAAGCTTTCAGTCTGCGCTATCTTGATTAACGCCTTAAAAGACTCACTTATTTTTCATGCCGAAAGTGCACCTATTTTGCAATCATTTCGCTCTTTACAATTGTGTAAGAAACGTTTGCAGTATGCGATAACACGAATAATGCGTCTTGAACTTGATACATCCTTGAAAATGGATGATTCCGGTGAGTCCGTGGTTATGCAGCATGTTCCTTTAACCTCCGGAATGTTACCTTCTAATGTGACTAGTGCGGGCCAGTCCGCTTCCTTCTTTACCAAAAAGGACGGGCTGTGCCACCACAATTCGGATTGTATTAATTTGTTTGAACCTACACCTACACCGCGCGACAACAGATCCGACGGATTATCCTTTGTTGGGATATGTCGCCATTCGTACGACTCAGTTAAGTTTTGTATTTCCGCAACGCGGTTTGCTACGAAAACCTGCAATGTATTTGGCTGCATGCGCAGCCAACTAAGAACTATCTACGAGTCATTCCAATAAATGATTTTAGTAAAGGATATTTCAATGGATTGAACAACCTTGCCGACTAACCTTGCAAGAGTGAGTGCTGCAGACAACTGTAGCCGAGGGATTGTTTGTTGTTTTAGAGGCGCTACCTTATCCTTTGCACATAACAATCTAGCCTGAACGAATCTTTCTGCATTTTTAGATACCAAATATATACATGCGCCATACGCCTTTGCGATGCATCCGCAAAGCCGTGTAATTGTACTTCCAAAAAGTTTTTGCATGATTGGTTTCGTGGTACCTTGCATTGATTTAATTCTTAAACTTGCCCTCGAAAAGATAGCCATTTATAGTGCAATTCTAGTGGAAGAGATTCGTCCCAAGTTAATTTGTGCAACCATAACTCCTGCAATAAAATTTTTGCAACAATTATGCATGGACTGAGAAGCCCTAAAGGATCAAAAATTTCAGCAGTTTCAGCTAAAATCTGTCTTTTTGTGATCTAGTGTGTTTTTGCTTTTCTATGGTGAAGGTTATATTATCGGGAATTGTTTGCCATACCGTGCCTAACGTTTTGGTGTTACCGTCAGTATCGAAATCAACATTATTTGGATTTTGGTCTTCCTTTGGAATATTACGGATTACTGCTGGCTCATTGGAGGCCCATTTCCGCAACTGAAAATCTGCCAAACTTAAAATGTGCGTAACCTTTTGTTGTATCTCTACAGCTTCCTCAATAGTTTTTCCCCTTATTAATAAATCATCAACGTAGAAGTCCTTTCGAATGATTTTAGCTATTGATGGAAATTGATCTTCCACTTAGTTGGCTAACTCTATCAAACACTTTGTGGCTAAGAATGGTGCTGATGACGTACCATAGGTAAGCGTTTAATTCAAATTTCTGGATGGTGCCTCCTTCGATCGTATACCATAGGATTATCTACAATGACCACTGATCGGGATTTACTAAGACCTGCCGGTACTTGTTGTATATCAGCTGATATAGCGTACAGATGAATCCTGAATCTAATAGTGTGAAAAGATCATCTTGCACTATGGGTCCTATCATCTGTAAATCGTTTAACGAAACACCGTTATCTGTAGATGCAAATTCGTCGAAAACTACGCGAATTTTTGTTGTTAAGCTGTCAGGCTTCACTACGCAATGATGGGGTAAGTAATATGAGTTTTTTGGCTCTGTTTCTTCGACTATTTTTTGCATATGCCCTAGCCTTTCGTATTCAGAAAGAAATGCTATATATTGTTCCTTAAGTAATAAATCCTTACTCAAACGTTTCTCGAGACTAATTAAACGCTTATGAGCTGTTCTCTCCGAATCACCTAATTCACTGCTATCTCTCTTTAATGGAATACTTACAACGAACCTGCCGTCCTTGTTACAATAAGTATGCTTATGAAAGTGATCTTCACAGTCCCTTTCCTCGTTGGATGCTTACTGGCTCCGACGTCTTCAATTTCCCAAAATTTGGTATGGCTCTTGTCAATGTCGATTGATCTGTGTAAATTGCATTTGACGGAGTTGGAGTATACATCTCTCATGGGACCAACCGCCACCCATCCAAGTTTGGTTTTTTGCATAGTGATTTTATTTTGGTTCACCTTTAGCTGCCCTATACAGAGAAGATCCTAAAAACAGTCGGCTCCCAACAGAATGTCGACCTTATTTGGAATATGAAACGATGGATCTGTAAGCCTAATGTTAGCTGGAATTTGCAATTTCGACCGATTAACATACTGAGCTGGTAAATTTCCTATGATATCAGGAACTATTAAACATTGAATGTCAACCTGATAATTATTATGTTGCGCCAATAATTTGACATTGCACTTCTGATCTATTTTTAAAGACATTCCGCTTATAGCTTCAATATTCATATCAATTTTTGATCCTTACAACCTTGATTCTCGATACAACTTAGATGTGATAAGACTCGACTGAGAGCCCGGATCTAGTATTGCACGCGCCTTCTGTTTTTTTCCTCTGCTGTCGATCACTAATACTACTGCTGTAGCTAACAAAACGCTAAGCGAATTGCACTGATTTTTTTAACACAAGACCGAAGAAACCTTCGTATCTTCCGAGGGTGATGTTTTGACTTCCAAATTCCTTTCGAAATGTAGTAACGAGTTGTGTTTTCCCGAACAATGTTTGCATGTGCCCGCCCTGCAATCCTTTAAGAAATGCCCCGGCCACATGCAATTAAGACATAATTTGGCCTCCTTTAAATAACTTGCTCTTTTTTGAGGGGAACTATCAAGAAATTTTGTACAACTATCAACTTATGATTTCCCTTACACACTACATAACCTTGTTTTTGTACTAGAAGCGATTTTGTTTTTGCACATTCATTTTGCTTTGTTTTTTGAACATCTTTATTGTTTAGTTCTAGCGAATCTAATAAATCTGCACGTGAGTTCAAAAACAAAATCGCTTCTTAAATTCATTTAATGTAGGAATATCATTTCCGGCACGCTCCTCCTCCCACGCCCGGCCCGTGACATTGTCTAACTTAGTCGATATTAAGTAAATTAATAGAGCATCCCAATGCTCTGTCGATTGATCTGAAGCATTTAAGGGAGCAGGTGCTTATTAAGAGTGTCGATGGTTTCTCGTATTTTAGCAGCTGATTCCTCCTTTGAGGATTGAATATCAAATATGGCTTTAATGTGATTATGTGCTAACAACCTTTTGTTATTGAATCGACTAATAATCTCCCATGCTACAGTGTAATTTACTGTTGTGAGTTCCAATGACTTAATGAATTGAGCCGCCACACCCTCTAATGAAGCCCTTAAATAAAGGAATTTCTGTATGCAGTCAATGGTTTCATTCTTATGTATTAACGATTCGAATGTGTCACGGAAACTAAGCCATTCGGCTACTTCGCCACTAAATTTGGGTAATTCGATAGTCGGCAATCTGATACCTGACATCTTATAGATAACCCGATTACCTTGATTCGCGAATGAGTTGACCAAACCTTCATTGATTGTCGTCCGAGCCGCCGACGACGATGCCTGTAAATACTGCGCATCGTTCGTTGCAGCACCCAAAGACGCTCCATCTGCATTCAAATGGGAGGCGCTACGCGCGATTAATGATTCAACTTGTGCTATTGCCTGAAAATATTCGTCATCGAACTTTTCCCTATATTCTATCGCTTCCGTTAACCTATCAGTTTCCTTTTCGATGTCAGCTTGTATTTCTTCATATGTTTGATACGCCTTTCGTATGCTGCTGACGCGTTCGCGAATCTCTAACTTCTTTAACTCTTCTAGCGGTGCATGTAGATCTGCACATGATGCGAGCGTTTTTGCAAGATAATTCTTAAACGACGTGACTCTACCTTTTATTATGCCTCGAGATTTAATCAGGCCTTCCATGACTGTCCTTTGTTGCAAATAGAAACGTTTCTAACCTTAAGAAAATTGAAATGACGGGAATGCTCTCTTACTTGATCAGACACCATACAAGCCTGTTATCCCGAACGATCCTGTTGTCTCGTGGCGTTGACGCTCCTGAGATCGAGCCTGATTGGCTCCTTCCTGTGTGTTACATCGCTGACTGCGGCGCTGCTCCTGCAATCGAGCCTGATTGGCCTCTTCCTATGTGTTACGTCGCTGATTGCGGCGCTGCTTCTGAGATCAAGCCTGATTGGCCCCTTCCTATGCGTTGCGTCGCTGATTACGGCGCTGCTTACGAACCTTCTCAATTCCGATCTTCGAATGCTCTTGAACGCCCGGCCAACCGATGTTCGGCCTGATGCTGTTGCGAGTATCCTCTTAGAAATGTCCTTTCTTTCGTGCTACCGCCGGCGCCTCATTGATGCAATGGCGGTCGGAATGCTTGTTGGCGTGATGCCGCCCGAATCCTTCTTTCCTTCGCGCCAGCGCCGATGCCTCAAATAATGCAATGGCGGCCGGAATGCTTGTTACCGTGATACCGCCCGAATCCTTCACGATGTGATGGCCATTAGACATTGCCGCCTCGTACTCTGCTTCGCTGAATATATCAAAATGACTTGCCTTGATGCGAGCCCACACGAATGCTCGCGGCCTAAATGTGTCTCCGAATTTGTCTGCCCGGCTCGTTGTGTCGCCAAACTTCGTGCGCAGCCTAAATCTGTCAAATTTCTATCTGCTTCGCGACCACTAACGATCGCCGTCCAAATCAACACTATATCCGGCTCGAAGGACCATGTATAATATTAAATATTTCTACGGATTTCACTTTTCTGGAACTTTGAGTACGAAGCACGTGTTGTTCTTCTGTCTGTTTATTGCCATCTTATATTACATGCCGCGCCACCAATACTCTCTCGGAACAAAACTTCGCGCCGCTGTCCGGCCGGTAATACAAGTAAAACATAAAGTTAAATATAAAAATCCGGCAGTGACTATTCTTAATTTCATGTCTCTGTTTACAGTTTAATATTATTAATATTTGAGAAGATTACATGGAAATGAAATATGCTGGTATTTATTAATTTAGTTAGGAAATGATAATAACAAAGCGATTGTCCTCAGTCTCGATCGTGGCGGACGTGTTTCGTCTCGTTACAATCTGAGTGTTGTATGTTTTATTTTTTAGCATAAGCGTGGTCGGCTTTGACTGTGCTGTTTGTGTTTGTGTTCTAGTGTTTTCCTTTCCCAGTCTATCCCTTGTTGCCGTTCTTCCTGTCGAGAAGCGATTGTTCTCGATAGCGGCACGATACTGGTCAGCACCAAACTGTGACAGATTTCTTAACCTGAATAGTCGTAATATTAATATCTCAAACCCACGTGGCAGAGTGACGCTTTTTTCTGTTAGATTCCTTCATTTTATGGAAAAACACGTCGAGTAAGCTTAATTTTATTGATTTTTCGCATAAAAATAAGTTTAACAAGAAAAGAAAGATAATTCAATTTAACCCCATTTCAAAAATCAATGAAATTAGGCTTATTCGTTTTATTATGTTTTTGCATAAGACGAAGGAATTTGGCAAAAGGAAGCATCACTCTATCCTGCGAGCCTGAAATATTAATCATTTTACAATTCACGAATTGCATCTGCAGTACAAATTTTGCTGTTCCTAATATAAAATAAGAGGGCACTCCGCTTTAAATAAATATATTCCTCTTAATACAAGAGGAAAATTGTTAGAATAATATCCAATACGTTTTTAATGAACAGTCTACTGTATTAAAAGAGGAATACTCTTTCTGTAAAAGTGTTCGCTTAGAATATGAGATTACCGGAAATTTCACTTTATAAATAGATTTTTTTTTGGGTGTAGTACTTTTTGTGTTAACTTTCAAGAGTTTCAAGTACAACATAGAAAAATTTGTAATCTTTTTCATAATTTTTTAATTTCCTAGTCATCCTTAATATATTAAGCATATAGAGTTTAATTGTTGTAGGTTAGTCTTATGATAGGGGAGACCGGAGCAAGTGGTTGCAATTTTTTATTAACAATTTTTTCCGTACTAATGTATACATTTAAATTAATGAATACCTATGCATTGCTTCATATCTTTAACTAGATAATCAATTTTTTTCTGATTTGTATCTATGTCTTTAAATATGGGAGATCGGGGACAAAAGTAACACGGGACAATAGTAACATCGTCAATATTTCTTAAACTGTAACAGATATATGTATGTGGCCACGTGGTAAAATTCTATAAACAGATAGGCATTGAATCATTCGACACATGCTGATTTTCGCGAAACGTGCATGAGTGCAGAAGCAGAAATTACTTTTTTCATGCATCAAGTAACTTTTATTGCGTGCACAAAATTCAAAATATTTTTTTTCTTTATAACAAAGGTATAATGTATTATCTTAATACGTTTTAATGATTATTTGTGTTGATGTTTTTCACATTTGAATTGATTTTTATCTAGGTTTTTATTTTAAAAATTTACTATGAATCGTAAAGTACCATTAGGGGACACAATAGTAACATCGATGCCTGGGGTCAGTTATTCGATTTTATACTGTAGAATCTGGATTTTGTAAGAAGGACTCTTACTTCAGCTTACTTAATAGCATTATTAGCGACTTTTCTACATTTGGCGAATACTTTTCATAATCGAACCATGGCGTATATTCGGGATTTATATTTTGACAACTATATCTATTCATTCTTGGATACTCAGCGATATTTGAATGTTTGGCGTAAATCCAGGATTTACCTTCCGACTACATATAACTGAAATCAGGCCTGAGAACAACGAAGGTCTAGTTTTAATAATTTTCATTGTACTTTTATAATTAGTGATCTATGTTAATCTATTGTAGTCAACCGCTTTCATATGCATATTTGTTTATAATTTTGAAAATGACCCGAAGATAGTCGAAACGTTAGTTTGATGTAGACATATTTTTGGTTTGATGTAGATATATTTTTATTTTGTTTTTACTTTTATTTTATTTAACGTCAACTGTATCATATGTTCATTAAAATTTGTTTTGTTTTGACTTGTAACTCTTCTGATTATATTTTGTTTTACTTGAATTATATATGTGAGTCTTTCTTGATTATGTATTTTTATTAATAAAACCAATAAAATAACCATTATTTTATTTTTAAATAGTATGGTACAATAGTCCCTCTCTACTATTACAATCGTCCCAGGGATTGGGACGGTTATAACAGAATTCCTCATAGCTTTTAAACAAACATAACTTTTTTTTCTAGTTACATTGAAAAATTAAATCAACGAAAATTTTGTAGCTAAATAAATTCTACATTTAAGGCGATGCTAAAGCCTCCTGTTTTACCACATTTTCATTCGGTGAAAAATCTCTGTACTGGATGTACGGATTGCAAAAGAATTATTGCTTAAATTAAAGTACGCACAAACAGGATCTCAGCTGCACTAGATTTCGTGAGAAAATAAAAAAAAAGTTTCAGATTTGTTAAAAATTCACTTATTTTTGGCTCGTACAGCTGTCACCTCAGATATATATTTGCTTGATATAAGAGTTAGAGTCCATATCTTGAAAATAAGCTGAGATCACATTATTGAAACGAACGATACCGAGTTTGTAGAACTAAGATTGAAAGTCCAGAAAAGAAATATTTCCAACGAATAGAAAATATATGTATATAGGTGCTATGCGAAGACTGGGACTGTCAACAGAGCCGAAATTCCGTGTAGCAGTAGTTGCGCGGTCTTGCGATAGATGGTGCTGGCATATGTTAGATAAGAACAGATGTATGCGTTTGAGTAAGACAGAATGATATATATTATATAATATAATGTAAAAACTAAATCAAAGATGTCACCACTATTATCGAATTTGGAATTAAAAAAGTCTGTACTGTCGACCTTGATTGAGTTATGTAATCGGTTTAGCATCCCCCGCGTAACTACTGCTACACACTTCTCCAATCACAACGAAGTCCAAAAATGGGTGGATGAATGGATCGCCTCGAAAGACACCGCGTTCTACCGTCGTGGGATTGCCCTGTTGCCAGAGAGATGGGAAAAAGTAGTAGAAAATGGAGGAAATGACTTTGATTAAGGTATTCATTCATCTTCCCTTCAAAACAAATCGATTTTCGAGACGAAAAAACGATAGGAATTTAGTTTAACACCTAATATTATACAGGGTGTCTCAGAAAATGTTACTGAAACACAGTGGGGACATAGATTGGATCAAGGGGAACAAAACAGTTTTGTACCATTTTGCAGTTGACGAAATATTTAACGAGATATTAACGTTTAAAGATAGGCGAATACGAGCATCCGACCAACCTACTGATCATG